TGCACTGTGAGCTGTAGGGTCTTATATAGACAGGTGTGTGGCTTTCCTAATCACATCCAATCAGTATAATCAAACACAGCTGGACTCAAATGAAGGTGTAGAACCATCTCAGGGATGATCAGAAGAAATGGACAGCACCTAAGTTAAATATATGAGTGTCACAGCAAAGGGTCTGAATACTTATGACCATGTGATATTTCAGTTTTTCTTTTTTAATAAATCTGCAAAAATGTCAAAAATTCTGTGTTTTTCTGTCAATATGGGGTGCTGTGTGTACATTAATGAGGAAAAAAATGAAAAATGATTTTAGCATATGGCTGCAATATAACAAAGAGTGTGAAAATTTAAGGGGGTCTGAATACTTTCCGTACCCACTGTATTTTATTCAGACAAAATATTTTTGTTAGCCTTTTACTTAATCCTGCAAGACCAATTTGATCCGCATTGTTTTTTTAAAGCATGCATATGGATTAAATTATGACTCATTTACTGTATTAGTTTACTTGTTCAGTGAAATGAACAACTGAAATGACCAACAGTGAACACATTACAAATACATTTTACAATAATCAATATCTGCATCAAACCATTCATTTAAATAGACAAGTGTATATGTCAAATGTATAACGTGACAAATGCATTTTAAACATGTTAAAGTCCAAGGTATCAAACCTTAGAATATACAGTAAAATATTTCAAAATAAAAAAAAAATAAATAATGGGATTGTATTGTCCATTATCCTCATCCTACTCTGTTTTCCAGCTGCACTTCATGTGGTTTCACTGGGCTGTACTTTGAGATAAAAAATATTATAGAAAAAGTGCAACTATTAGGAAAATGTGTTATCAAAACCTGCTCTGAAATACTTGTACACTTACTTATATCTTCGAGGACAGTTGGGTCCAAATGAATAAAAATATGCTTTCAACAGTCAAATACAAATCAGAGATACTTAGGACCCGCATATGCCAAACCATAAACATGAACAAATCCACTGCATAGGAATTGGAGAAATGCTTAAGCTCCTGTAGAGACAGACATGTTTTCAGTCTTACACTGTTATTGTGTAAAGCTCAAGACATCCAAATATGAAACTATTTCCAGTTCACTATGGGGAGCGGTGCTATGCCACAAAGTGAACTATGTGAACTACAAGCTCAACTGCCTAAATTAATCACATCGCCCCTGGGATCATACAAAAAACAAACAAAACATCACAAAGTAAAACAGCCAGCATGTGTTGTTGTTTAAGAACTGTGAATCAGAGAGGAAAATGATTAGATTTACAGGAATACTTTGTCCTCAAGAGTCAACTTTGCCATAAGTCCCCTCTGGTGGCCGGTAGTACTTGGGAAAAGCCAGCAGCTGCAACATGTTGAAGGCATACTTCCTGCATCGAATATTCTTTTGAACATTCTCAATCCGACATCCTTCTCTGATGGTTAAATAAAGATGATAAAGAGGAATGAGGGAAGAAGAAAGGAAAAAACAAAAATGAACATGAATGAGCCTTTAAAACAGGCTTCACCAAAAATATAGTTGAATTTACAATAGTATAAGAATAAGATGACACCCCAAAATACAAATTTATCTCCTTATTGAAGTATTTTAAAATATATGTGCTGTATAATTATTGCCTTATTTGTATGATAATTAAGGCTATGGCACAACATACAATAACAAATTATTCAAAAATCCATAAAAGAAGTTTTTTGACAGTGAAAAAGTGAAATGGCACAGAGCAGATCTGAAACACATAATTCATCCCACATTAAAGGTGCAGTTTGCAATTGTTGTTCTTCCACCCGGTATAAAGTGCTGTAAATGTTATGACAGTTTCATTTAGCAGTTACTTCCAGTACAACAAAAGAACTGTTACTAACACACACACATATATGTAATCCTTCACTGTAAGTGTGACCTAAAAATACCTTAAATTGGTTTATCTCTGACAATTTCTCAAAAAAAAAAAAAAGAATAGAAAAAACCTCCATTATACGCATCAGAGATGTGTTTTCTGCTGTATTGCCATACTATTTCTACAAACAGGGTTTAAAAATGGTACTGTACCATAAAGCAGTGAGAAGCCGGACCATCTGAATTATGGGATTCCATTAAAGTTTTATAACTTGAGATATTTTTGACAATTTGGAACTCAAATCAATAACTGCGTTTTGGTCTTTTGTGGTTCCAAGAGCTCATTAAAGGGTCCATTCCCTCAAATCATTACTTTTATCTATTGTAAAGGAGCCTGTTCATAACTGCTACAAGTGAGACACTTCTTCTGTAAAGCTTTGCTTCTATCAGGTTAAAGCAGGTTGCTTGAGTATAGGAAGAGAAATCTCACTACAGTGGCAGAGAGAGCTTGATGCACTGCAGCTTTAGAAACCATGCAAATGGCCAGACATGACCAAATTGTTAGTAATTTCTTTTAATCTTATAACTAATATCTGTTTAACATAAGTTCTGGATTGCAACATGTATTTGCATGTAACAACATGCGGTCATATGCCAAGATTAACATTCCATGAGGTCCTGGTGTCTGTGTTCGTAGCTCTGTTCAAGTTACTATACAATTTTAGAATCACCATAAAAGGTAACCAGAGTAGCTGGATTCAGGAATGTGGAGCTCTCCAGTCACTTGAGGTTCCACACCAGTTTGGAGAGAGAGGAAGGGTGTGAGAGTGTCACGCTCCTGCCCCTCTTGCTTGCTGTCATGCTTTTATGGCTATACCTGTTTACCGTGTTTACCCTGGACTGTCTTATCGACCTGATTGATATCCTGGACTTTGTGTTAGTTGTTTTGCTTACAACAAATAAAGAACTTGTCGCTACCTCGGTTCGTCTGGTTTTCTAACTGAATTCACCACAACCTCTGTTTGGCATCTGTACATGCCAAACCTGACAGAGAGAGTATATGATTATGTTTCATGCATCTGTTGATGTTGATCTGCCTACACTACTGTTAATCTCATTTGAGTTTGTCAAAGTAAGCTGCCTGAAATGAGAACTCCTGAGTCCTGGTCCTTCTTTCGACATTCATGTAAACTGAGAAGCAAACTTCATCCTTTCACAAATGAAAAAGATATTTTCACCTTTTCTTCATCTTCCAACTCAAATGTTCACAGACTGCACTATGTGAGCTGTTTCATCTGATGTTATTCCTTTAAGGATAAAGGCTGAAAATATTCTGTATCCTTAACAAATTAAAATACCAAAAACAACAAACCTATCCAATAACAGGTATTGTTTATAGTGCAGTATATGTAGCCAAATTGTGTAGTGCTTGTTCCTCTTTGCCTTAAAACTCCACTGTTGTCAATAAACTTGAAAACATTGTCATTAAAGTTTATTTTGAGTTAATCATATATACTGTACACACAAAATGTGTATTCATTTGCAGCAGAAAGTTGCTGTTTATGCTCCTTAATTTCATGTGTTTGAAATAAGTCCTCAGTGGGTGCACAGAGACTAAGGTCCTACAGCTTGCAGTTGAAAATAAACCACTTGCTCTGCAACTGTAATTGCCGGTAATTACCTGAACACGAGAAATCTAGTTACAGTAAATCACATTACCACCACTGTAGACAGAGTAACCAGCAAACACAGAAGAGAGGAGTAAGCAGAGATGGCATTGTCAGCAATTTATTGATATTTTGCAAGCAGAAAAACAAGACTTAAAATGAGCCACACAACCAGTAAGTGAGAGCTAACGAGCAGCAGGGCAATGGGGTAAAAGTGCCGTGACGCTGCTTTGTTCTCTGTCATGGTGCCAGCCTCAAGGTCCTCCCACTGCCCAGCGTCTCCCTGGGTCAGACGACTGCAGTGGCCATCAGAGTGAAACAGAACGAACAGAAACACATCAAAACACTGTGGTGTTAGTGCAAGTCTAAATGCTCTTTTAGTGGGACTTCAACCACAAATTGAGCCCATTCAGGATGGTACCAGAAGCCCCACTTACACACAGAGCAATTAGTACAGAGTTTGCCTCAGAAAGCCACAGCCACAAACAGGCAGGCAAGATGGACAGAGCAGGGATATGGTAAACAGGCTCATGAAAAAGATGCACTGTAAGCCATGTGTTGAAAGGGTGTGGCAGACAATGGAGGAAGGAGGCGTGCACTGTGGTGAAAAACTGCTGATAAAAATCCTTGCGGTTTCATCACTTCTCATCTAGCTGATATACACTCACTGAACTCTAGAGAGTGGAAGAACCATGTTCAGAGTGGTGGCTGAACAGGTTTCTTTTGCAACATGACTCTTGTCTCTAATTTCCTGTTGTAGAGCATTTCACTTCATTCACGCTTTGCTTATGATGGACTTCACTTCACTGCTGCTAGGACTGAAAAAGTCTACCAAACAGTGGAAGTAGCTTTCATGAATTAAATATATTTTCTGACTTTACACTCACTAGTTGTGTATAATAAACTGGACTAAAAGGTCAGAGGTCCGTGTACGAAACAATGTGCAGTCTTGAGCCTGTGTGGATAATGAAACTAGGAAAAGACAGACAAGCACGTTTTAGCAGGTTTTAGTTGAGTCAGCAAACAAAATACTGGACGGCTGCACTGACCTCTGTTTAGTGTGCCGAAATATGACTATGGATCACACTCACATAGTAGCTTGAGTTAATTTTCATCTCTGACACATCATATTAATATGTTGACTCACTCTGTGTAGACTCATTATGTACATGCAAATCTAAAATAATTAGATGTCTTGCCTTCTTTCTGCAGAAGCAAGCCAAACGTTTTAAGTTGATATTTGATAAAACTGTGGGAGCAGTTTCCCACAGGAATGGCTGAAGATGTTGTTAGAGGGAAACACTAAGTGAAGATCAAAAAATTATACGGTATGCTAAAATATTTTCACCATGTCTCCTCTCCTTTGAGGAAGTATTGGGAACTGAGTCAGTTATGAAACATGTCAGTTATGTAACAGGAAACAAGAAGAGACATTAGCTACATCTGAAGACTGTTTTGAGAAATAGGAAGAGTGTGAGCTTTCACAGAAACGAAAGTCAGGGACAAATGTACAAGAATACGGGAAATAGAAAAGTGAGGCGCATTTGGTAGGAGAGCAATAAAGAGATCAATACTGCCAGCTGCTACTTGTTAGTCTGAATCGTCTGTTAACACATCTGGTAAAAAACTGCCACAACACCGACTAAAAGACAATATGTACTAAATCTGTATTTATGCAGCTTATGTAAATGACTAGTGCGAACAGTGTTTAATGACAACTTGTTAAAACGCTGTCATTGTTGTCCACAACCAGGGATTGATTGAAAATACATAGCTACAATATAGCAGTGGTATCGTCTGGTCCAGCCTGTTCAACACAGAAGCTTTCCTTGTGTTTATTTAAAACAAATCAATTCTGTCAAGTCAATTAACTGGCAAATATTCTTCTAGACTACAACACAGTTAATTAAAAAAATACCTGGAGCTGCTCTAGATGCAAACTGTGACTGTCCACCTGTTAATTCTATCTAGTATCATGTTTGTGCGGTTGTTTCACCACATCTTTGTTCCTGCGAAGCACTAATGCAATTTTTCTGTTATTAGAGTGATAACTTCTTCACTGCTGGCTGCCAGACTGGTCTGAGCTGTGATCCGACAGACCCAACTCTCTATAATCACGATACACAGATGTTGGTTTTCTAACAATACTTGAACATACAGATGTATAAAGTTATGTTTTATTGATCTGACACACCAACAGTGGAAGCCAAAATATAAAAATGTTAGCACAATAATGATCATATTTGCTACTTTAGTCCTCGTCCTACCTAAATTTGTAATATTAATTCCCAATTCCGACTCTTCACATCATCTCAACGCTAAATAAATATCAAACTCTTGTTATTAGCCTAATCATCCATCCATCCATTTTCCTCCGCTTATCCGGGACCGTGTGGTGTGGGCAGCAGTCTAAGCAAAGATGCCCAGACTTCCCTCTCTCCAGACACTCCCTTCAGCTCCTCCGGGGGATTGCGAAGGGGTTCCCCGGCAACACAA